CGCCGGTCGATCTCTTCCTCCAACTTTCCATCACTAGTAAATATAGTTCCGATGTACTTGAACTTCTCCAATTGCTCCACTGCCTTTCCGTTAATCTGAAGAGAGCAGCGGACAGGAGAACGTGAAAACACTAGGCTTTTCGTTTTAGATGCGTTCACAGCATGCCGGTCACGTCGCACTCGGCTGCGAACCTTTCTAGGGAGCACTGAAGATCAGTTTCAGAAGATGTTAATAAAACAAGGTCGTCTACAAACAGCAGCCTTCTCGTTTTCACATGTCCTACACCGATGCACTCGTCGCCTTGGCAGCACCTGACTATCTATCCATGTACATCACCGACAAGATAGGGGACAATACCAGCTTTGGCGGAACTTTACAACAATTTTGCTATAATGTACCGGTTAGTGTATCACTAACAAACAGTTCCTCTCCGAAAGCACTTATACCTCTAGTTTGTTCGTCTAGGTTGTACGCTTGCCTTCTTTTCGACGTTTACCTTGTTTTGGTTTCCTCACGGGACGCTAGCGGACTGATGAAAAAGATAGTTAAACCTTTTCTTAATCTTTGCATCTACGTCAGAGACCTTTACGAAGAACCTTGTACTGCCTTTGAACTTCTGAGCATGTCCGTTAATGGCTTACTGGCAGTAACTAGGGAATTGTGCAAGATGGCCTCGATTCTAGGCCTGGAAGGTAATCACACCAAAACTATGATCTCGCGACCACCAGACACGAGTAGCGATCCAAAACTTCAATGGAATGGAAGGACCAAGTAGGAGGTCGAAAACCTGGAATATCTCGGTTCTGCAGTGGCAAAAAATAGAAGCAGTAATATGGAGTCAGAGCGGCAGCTAAAGCTGGCATCTGTGAACTTCATGCGACTTTTAAAATGCGGCAAGATCGATCTATCCGGTAGCAGATAAGATCAGCATACGGAAAGCAAAGCGTTGAAACATAAATCAATTTAAAGGTCCATGGAAAGATATTTGACACTTTTCAGTGGTGCTGTTTGCGGAACATTCTGAAGGTGCGATAGTTCCATCGAATGAAGAATGAAAAGATGTTGACTGAAGAAATCAGGGGCCGGAGGGCGTCTGTCGTGGTTTAACAGAACCATCTGAAGAGTGAATGGTGATTTGTCCAAAAATCATGCTCCTCTGGGAAGCAAATAGATGACCGCAGGTTCGTCAGATACCAACATGACACTCTAAGGTAGCTGCTAGAGGCGGACTTGCTTGCAACGATGGAGAACATGGTCATTGCTGCAACAACCAACATCGTTTAAATCGTTCTGAGAGCCACATCGTCAGACATCTTTAATCTGGGCACATTCTGATAACCAAGATAACGGTGACAGTAACAGTTGATAACAGCAATACGTTGACTAGACAGAATATTACTAAGGTTGATTGAATAATT